ACTCCACTCACTCTGAAGGACAGATCAACCAGACATAAATTAGGAAGGACACCGAGGCACTGAACAACACATTAGAACAGATGGGCCTAACCCACATCTACAGAACTCTACACCCAAAAGCAGCAGAATACACATTCTTCTCAAGTGCACATGGAACATTTTCAAGAATAGATCATATACTAGGCCACAAAAACACCTTGGTATATTCAAAAAGATTAAAATTATCCAACCAGTTTCTCAGACCACAAAGGTATGAAATGAGAAATAAATTATACAAAGAAAATGAAAAATCTCACAAACACATGGAGGTTTCACAACATGATCCTAAATAACCAATGGATAAATGACCAAAGAAAAACAGAGAACAAGCAATATATGGAGACAAATAACAACAATAATTCAACACTGCAAAATCTGTGGGATGCAGTGAAGGCCGTGCTAAGGGGAAAGTATATTGCAATACAGGTCTATCTCAGGAAAGAAAAGCAATCCCACATGAACAGTCTAAACTCACAATTAACGAAACTAGAAAAAGAAGAACAAATAAGGCCCAAACTCAGCAGAAGGAGAGATATAATAAAGATGAGAGCACAAATAAATAAAATCGAGAAGAATAAAAGAATAGAAAGAATCAACGAAAGCAAGAGTTGGCTCTTCAAGAAAATAAACAAAATAGATAAATCCTGAGCCAGGCTTATTAAGAAAAAAGAGAGTCTACACACATAAACAGAATCAGAAATGAGAAAGGAAAAATCACTACGGACACCACAGAAATACAAAGAATTATTAGAGAATACTATGAAAAATTATATTCCAACAAACTGGATAACCTAGAAGAAATGGACAACTTCCTAGAAAAATACAACCTTCCAAGGCTGACCCAGAAAGAAACAGAAAATCTGAAATACCAATTACCAGCAACAAAATTGAACTGGTAATCAAAAACTACCTAAGAACAAAACTGGACCAGATAGTTTCACTGCTGAATTTTATCAAACATTTAGTGAAGACCTAATACCCATCCTCCTTTAAGTTTTTCAAAGAGTAGAAGAAGAGGCAATACTTCCAAACTCATTCTATGAGGACAGCCAGGCAAAAACAGCATAAAAAAAGAAAATTACAGACCAATATCCCTGATGAACATAGATACAAAAATACTAAACAAAATATTAGCAAACTGAATTCAAAAATACACCAAAAGATCATCCATCAGGATCAAGTGGGATTCATCTCAGGGATGCTAGGATGGTATAATATTAAAAAATCCATCAACATTATCCACCACATCAACAAAAATAAGGACAAAAACCACATGATCATCTCCATAGAGGCTGAAAAAGCATCTGACAAAATTCAACATCCATTCATGATAAAAACTCTCAAGAAAATGGGTATAGAGGGCAAGTACCTCAACATAATAAAGGCCATATATGACAAACGCACAGGCAACAAACAATATATTTAACAGCGAAAAGCTGAAAGTTTTTTCCTTTAAGATTGGGAACAAGACAAGGATGCACACTCTCGCCACTTTTATTCAATATAGCACTGGAGGTCCTAGCCACGGCAATCAGACAACACAAAGAAATAAAAGGCATCCAGACTGGCAAGGAAGAAGTTAAACTGTCCCTGTTTGCAGAGGACGTGATATTGTACATAAAAAACTTTAAAGAATCCACTCCAAAACTACTAGAACTAATATCTGAATTCAGCAAAGTTGCAGGATACAAAATTAATACACAGAAATCTGTTGCTTTCCTATATACTGGCGATGAACTGGCAGTAGGAGAAATCAGGAAAATAATTCCATTCACAATCGCATCAAAAAGAATAAAATACCTAGGAATAAACCTAACCAAAGAAGTGAAAGACTCTGAAAACTACAAGACCATCATGAGAGAAATTAAAGAAGATACCAATAAATGGAACACATCCCGTGCTCATGGTTACAAAGAATTAATATTGTCAAAATGGCCATCCTGCCTAAAGCAATCTACAGATTCAATGCAATTCCTATCAAAATACCAACAGCATTCTCTTATGAACTCAAGCAAATAGTTCTAAAATTCATCTGGAACCACAAAAGACCCCGAAAGGCCAAAGCAATCCTGAGAAGGAAGAATAAAGCTGGGTGGATTATACTCCCCAACTTCAAGCTCTACTACAAAGCCACATTAATCAAGACAATTTGGTACTGGCACAAAAACAGAACCATAGACTAATGTAACAAACTAGAGAGCCTTGATATAAACCCAACCATATATGGTCAATTAATATACGATAAAGGAGCCATGGATATACAATGGGGAAATGACAGCCTCTTCAACAGCTGGTGTTGGCAAAACTGGACAGCTACATGCAAGAGAATGAAACTCGATTATTGTTTAACCCCATACACAAGAGTAAACTCAAAATGGATCAAAGACCTGAATGTAAGTCATGAAACCATAAAACTCTTTGAAGACAACAAAGGCAAAAATCTCCTGAATATAAGCATGAGCAACTTCTTCCTGAATGCATCTCCTCGAAAAAGGGAAACAAAAGCAAACATGAACACATGGGACTATATCAAACTAAAAAGTTCCTGTACAGCAAAGGACACCATCAACAGAACAAAAAAGGCATCCTACAGTATGGGAGAATATATTTGTAAGTGACATACCCAAAAAGAGGTTAACATCCAAAATAAATAAGAACTCACACACCTCACCACCCAAAAAGCAAATAATCTGATTAAAAAAGGGAAGAGGATATGAAGAGACACTTCTCCAAAGAAGAAATTCAGATGACCAACAGACACATGAAAAGATGCTCTACATCACTAATCATCAGGGAAATGCAACTTAAAACCACAATGAGATATCACCTCACACCAGTTAGGATGGCCAGCATCAAAAAGACTTAAGAACAACAAATGCTGGCAAGGATGCAGAGAGGGGAACCCTCCTACACTGCTGGTGGGAATGTAAACTAGTTCAAACATTGTCTAAAGCAATTTGGATGTTCCTCAAAAAAATAAAAATAGAAATTCCATTTGACCCGAGAATCCCACTCTTTGGAATTTACCTGAAGAATACAACTTCTCAGACTCAAAAAGACATATGCATCCCTATGTTTATTGCAGCACTATTTACAATAGCCAAGATATGGAAGCAAGCTAAGTGTCCATCAGTTCATGAATGGATAAAGAAGATGTGGTACTTATACACAATGGAATACTATTCAGCCATAAGAAACAAATCCTACCATTTGCAACAACATGGATGGAGCTGGAGGATATTATGCTCCGTCAAGTAAGCCAGGTGGGGAAAGATAAGTACCAAATGATTTCCCTCATTTGTGGAGTATAAGAACAAAGCAAAACTGAAGGAACAAAATTGCGGCAGACTCACAGACTCCAAGAAGGGACTAGTGGTTACCAAAGGGGTGGGGTATCAGAGGGTGGGTCAGAAGGGAGGGAGATGGGGATTCAGGGGTATTATGTTTAGCACATATGGTGTTGGGGGTCACAGGGAAAACAGTGTAGCACAGAGAAGGCAAACAGTGAATCTGTGGCATCTTACTACACTGATAGACAGTGACTGCATTGCAGTATGGGTGGGGACTTGATAATAGGGGTAAATGTCATATCCACGTTGTTTTTTCATGTGAAACCTTCATAAGTGTATATCAATAATACCTTAATAAAAAATTAAAACTAATAAAATAAACATAAAATAATAAAATAAAAATAAAATAAAAAATAAAATAAAATAAATAAAATAAAATATAATAATAAAATAAAACAAATATAATAAAATAAAACAAATTAAATTAAATTAAATTAATTAAATAATAAACTTAATTTAAAAAAATAAAATAAATTAAGTAAAATAAATTAAATTAAAATAAAATTAATATTAAATAAAATTAAATTAAAATAAATAAAATTAAATAAAATTAAATAAAATTAAATTAAATAAATAAAAGAAAATAAATTAAAATAAAATAAAATAAGTCAAATCTTTGGTAACTGCAGAAAAATAAATAAATAAGCAAAGGACCTAAAGAGATGTTTCTCAAAAGAAGACATACAAATGGGCAACAGATACATGAAAAGATGTTCAATGTCATTAACCACCAGTGAAATGCAAATTAAAACCACCATGTCAGATCACCTTTTAGGATGCTTATTATCAAAAAACAAAAGACAAGTATTGGTAAGGATGAGAGAAAAGGGACTCTTTTACACTGTTGGCAGTAATGTAAACTGGCATAGTCATTATGGAAACAGTATGTTGAGTTTCTTCAAAAAATAAAAAATAGAACTCATATGATATAGCAATCCTACTTCTAGACCAATAACCAAAGGAAACGAGAACAGGATATTGAAGAGATAGCTGCACCCCTATGTTCACTGCAGCATTATTCAGAATTGTCAAATATGAAAACCACCCAAATAACAATGGATGAATGTGTAAAGATGATGTAACGTGTACATAGGCACACACACACACAGGAATATTATTGAGCCATGAGAAAGAAGGAAATCTTGTTTATGAAACTAGTGAATATTATGATAAGTGAAATAAGCCAGAGATTGACAAATACTGTATGATCTCTCTTATATGTGGAATTTTAAGAAAAAAAGTAGAACTCACAGAAGCACGAACAGTGGTTACCAGGGCTTCATGGGGGGCAAGGGAAATGGGAAGAGTTTCGTCAAAACATACAAAGTTACAATTAAGTAGCATGAGTAAGTATAGAGATCTAATGTACAGACATGACGACTACAGTTAATAATACTGCAATGAATACTGGAAATATGCTGAGAGTAGATTTTACATGCTCTCATCACAAAAGAAAAGGTAACTTAAGGGAGGAGATAATGTTAATTAACTGTGTAGTAATCATTTTGCTATGAACAGGGATACCAAATCATCATGTTGTACACCTTATATATACAATTTTTATTTAAAAGAGAAGAACCTTAGAAAATACAGAAAAGGAGTTTATCTTACCTGGGCAAGAAGAATATTTATAACTTCTTCATTTTCATTCATTTCTTCTTTGGAAACATCCTCTTTTGAAAGGCTGGCTATCTCTTGTGCAATCTTGGTTTCACACTCCTGTCAAGTAAGACAAAAGAAAAAGAACCAGGTCAGCCCATACACATATTCACAAATTCACACCATCACCATTCTAGAGGTTTACTTCTCATTTCCTAGAATTGAAAAAACGACAGCCATTTCATTTGTGACTACATGGATGGATTTACTATTGTGCTAAGTAAAATAAACCATGCAGCAAAAGACAAACACCACATTAATTAACTTATATGTGGAATGTAAAAAGAAAACAAAACAAAATGAATAAAACCGGTAGATTCATAGACACTGAGAAGTGACTGGTGGTTATCATGGGGGACAGGCTAGGATGGGTGGGTGAAATAGATGAAGGGAAAGAGGCACAAAATATCAACCATAATATGAATTAGTCACAGGGGAACGAAAGTACAACATAGAGAATACAGTCAATGGTTCTGTAATTTCTATATTGACAGTGACTACACTAGTTGGGATAAGGATTTAATAATGAGTATAATGGTTTAATCACTATATTGTATACTTGAAACCAATATTATATATCAACTATATTTCAACTAAAAAAATATGAAAGAGAAGGTGAGAAACTGCAACATGGTGACGTAAGCAGGTTGGCGGAAATCTCCCAAAACCATATATATTTTGAAAATACAGCAGATACAACTATTCCTGAAAGAGTGACCAGAAGATACAGTACACCACTAGGCTACATCTACATCTGCGAGAACTCAGCATCTCACAGAAAAGCTAAGATACAAAGCTGTGACCCAGTGGGATCCGAGCACTCCCCCCACCCCAGCTCACAAGGGGGAGGAAAAAAATCAAAGAGTGGGGAGGGAGTGGAAGCACAGGACTGCTAAATAACCAATCCTAGTAATCTGCACCAGGAGCATAGACACACATTGCATGGTGTACTGGATATAAGAGGAACCGAAAAGCAAAACCTGAGACTGAGAGTGCGAACAGGTTCCACAGCCAGCTTCCCTGAGATAAAAAAGCGGGTGCTTTAAGTCTTAAAGGGACAAGGGTTTAACAGATGCACAAAATCGTCCTAGCACACTCAGCCCAGCAGGCTGGGAGTTTTAAGTAACTCAGGCACCCTAACCCCCTGGGTGGCAATGCAGCGCCAAAGCCCTTCGTGGCAATAAGTAGCCTGCCATTCCTTCCCCCCTCTGGAATTGTAAGCAAACTGGCTGACCTGCCACTGCTGCAGAACGGGGGGGGGAGCACCCCCACCCACAGCAACCATACAGAGGCTTCTCCCTTCATGCATAACACACCGAGACGAACAGTCTGCCCCATGCCCACAGTTGACTGCTACAAACAGCGGAGACTGGTGCTGAGTCCGGAAAGCACAAAGGGGTATTGTTCTCACAGAGAACACATGCTGCTCACCTGAAACCCCGCCACTGCCCTAGGACATCCCAAGGGCCACCCCACCCATGGCAGCTCAGGGTATTAACCCAGAGGCTGTTTCCTGTGTGCAGTTTCCTGGCATAGGCAGTGGAGACCAGCACAGACTCCAAGCAGCACAAAGGGGCTTTGTTCTTGTGGCAAACACGCTGCTCACCAGCAACCCCCGCCAATACCCTAGGACATCTCAAGGGCTGCCCGCCATGGAAGCTCAGGGGATTAACCCAGAGGCTGCTCTCTGTGTGCAGTTGCCTGGCACAGACAGTGGAGACCGGTGCAGAAATCTGGAAGCACGAAGGGGCGCAGTTCTCACAGGAGAACACACAAAGCTCGCCTGAGAAATGCACCAGTGCCCAAGGCCATCCTGAGGGCCACCTGGCCAACGAAAGCACAGAGGATTAACCCAAAGGCTTCTCCCTATGTGCGGTTAACCGGCACCGGCAGCACAGCTGTGTAAGGCGACCTGCCTTCCAAAACAGGAAGGGACTTTGTTTCCCCAGCTAAAAATGTGCCACTCGCTGGCAACCACTTCCATCACCATGAAAAGGCAGAAGAACCTTGTTCAGTCCAAAATCCCTCAAACACCAGAGACAGGGACTGGTGAGACCGAAATCACCAATCTTCCTGAAAAAGAATTCAAAATGAAAGTCATAAGTATGCTGATGGAGCTACTGAGAAATATGTCAGAGCTAAGGGATAAATTCCAGAGGAAGATAACAAAATTGAAACAAACAACAAAAGGATTTAAGAGCAGACTGGATGAGGTGCAAGAGACTATTAACGTAGAAATCTGAGAACAGGAGTACAGATAAGCTGAGGAAGAGAGAGATAAAAGGAACTCTAGGAATGAAAAAATATTAAGAGAAATGTGTGACCAATCCAAACAACACTATTGGCATTATAGGGGTAACAGAAGAGGGAGAGAGAGAAAAAGGGATAGAAAGTGTCTTTGAAGAAATAATTGTTGAAAACTTCCCTAACCTGGGGAAGGAAATAGTCTCTCAGACCATGGAAGTCCGCAGATCTCCCAACACAAGGGATCCAAGGAGGACAACAACAAAACAAATAATAATGAAACTGGGAAAGATCAAAGACAAGAACAGAGTATTGAAAGCAGCCAGAGAGAGAATAAAGATCACCTACAAAGGAAAACCCATCAGACTATCATAAGACTTCCCAGCAGACACGATACAGGCCAGAAGGGAGTGGCATGATATATTCAATGCAATGAAAACAGAAGGACCTGGAACCAAGAATACTGTATCCAACAAGATTATCATTGAAATTTGAAGGAGGGATTAAACAATTGCCAGATAAGCAAAAGTTGAGGGAATTTGCCTCCCACAAACCACCTCTACAGTGTATATTAAAGGGACTGCTCTAGATGGAAGTACTCCTAAGGCTAAATAGATGTCACCAGAGAAAATAGGAAAGAAAGTAGACCAACCAAACACTAACTAAATGCAAAATAAAATGAACCATCCACAAAATCAGTCAAGGAAAACACAAAGAGTACAGAACAAAACACCTAACATATGAAGACTGGAAGGGGTAGAAAAAGAAGGGAGAGAAATAAAGAATCATCAGACTGTGTTTATAATAGTGTAATAAGTGAGTTAAGTTATATAGTAAAGAAGCTACCCTTGAACGTTTGGTAACAATAAATCCAAAGCCTTCAATGACAGTAAGTACATATCTACTGATAATCATCCTAAATGTAAATGGACTGAATGCATCAATCAAAAGACACAGCATAACAGAATGGATAAAAAAGCAAGACCCATCTTTGTGCTGCCCACAAGAGACTCACTTCAAACCCAAAGACATACACAGACTAAAAGTGAAGGCATGGAAAAAGATATTTCATGAAAACAATATGGAGAAAAAAGCAGGTATTGCAGTACTTGGATCAGACAAAATACACTTGAAAACAAAGAAAGTAACAAGAGACAAAGAAGGATATTACATAATGACAAAGGGGTCAGTCCAACAAAAGGACATAACCATTATAAATATCTATGCACCCAACACAGGAGCACCAACATATATGAAACAAATACTAACTGAATTAAAGGAGGAAATAGAATGCAATGTATTCATTTTAGGAGACTTCAACACACCACTCACTTCAAAGGACAGATCCACCAGACAGAAAAGAAGGACACAGAGGCACTGAACAACACACTAGAACAGATGGACCTAACAGATATCTACAGAACTCTACACACAAAAGCAGCAGGATACACATTCTTCTCAAGTGCACATGGAACATTTTCCAGAATACACCACATACTAGGCCACAAAAAGAGCCTTAGTAACTTCAAAAAGACTGAAATTCTATAACCAACTTCTCAGACCACAAAGGTATAAATAAAACCAGAAATAAATTGTACAAAGAAAACAAAAAGGTTCGCAAACACATGGAGACTTAACAACATGATCCTAAATAATTAATGGATCACTGACCAAATTAAAACAGAGATCAAGCACTATATGGAGACAAATGAAAACAACAGCACAATGCCCCAACTTCTGTGGGACACAGCAAAGGCAGTTCTAAGAGGAAAGTATACAGCAATCCAGGCCTATTTAAAGAAGGAAGAACAATCCCAAATGAATAGTCTAAATTCACAATTACTGAAACTGGAAAAAGAAGAACAAATGAGACCCAATGTCAGCAGAAGGAGGGACATAATAAAGATTAGAGCAGAAATAAATAAAATTGAGAAGAATAAAATACTAGAAAAAATTAATGAAACCAAGAGCAGGTTCTTACAGAAAATAAAAAAAATAGATAAACCCCTTGTCAGACTTATTAAGAGAAAAAGAGAATCTACACACATCAACAGAATCAGAAACGAGAAAGGATAAATCACAACGGACCTCACAGAAATAAAAAGAATTATTAGAGAATACAATGAGAATCTATATGCTAACCAACTGGATAACCTAGAAGAACTGGAGAACTTTCTAGAAAAATAGAACCTTCCAAGGCTGACTCAGGAAGAGACGGAAAATCTAAACCAATAAACAGCAATGAAATTGAATTGGTAATCAAAAAACTATCCAAGAACAAAAATATCACACCAGATGGTTTCACTGCTGAATTTTATCAGACATTTAGAGAAGAGGTAATACCCATTCTCCTTAAAGTTTTCCAAAAAGAGAGGAGGAGGGAATACTTCCAAACTCATTCTATAAAGCCAGCATCACTCTAACACCAAAACCAGGCAAAGACACCACACACACAAAAAAAAATTACAGACCAATATCCCTGGATGAACACAGATGCAGAAATACTCAACAAAATATTACCAAACCAAATTAAAAAATACATCAAAAGATCATCCATCATGATCAAGTGGGATTCATCTCAGGGATGCAAGGATGGAACAACATTTGAAAATCCTTTAACATCATCCACCACATCAACACAAAGAAGTACAAAAACCACATGATCATCTTCATAGAGGCTGAAAAAGCATTTCACAAAATTCTACATCCATTCATGATAAACACTCTCAACAAAATGGTTATAGAGGGCAAGTACCTCAACATAATAAAGGCCATAGATGACAAACTCACAGCCAACATCATACTTAACAGTGAGA